CTCTAATGAAATATCAAAGTATAAATCAATGTGAAAGATATTTAAGATGTAAAATTTATTGTAAGTTAGTGTTCTATATACATTTTTTTTTTTAAATTAGTTAGTGTTATCTATATAATATCTATATAATAAGGGAGAAGAGTTTTTAAAAATGTCCTATGTGGCAAGAAATTGTCATAGAGATACATTTATGACCAACGGTTCAGATCAATCTTAATCAAAATCCAAGGGACAAAATCAAAATCTAGCATAATCAGCCTCTTTGGATTCCTCCCAACGAGCACCAAACACACTTCCCTATCTCTCTCTCACAGTCGTCCTCCTCTCTCTCTCTCTTCTCTCTGGTTTTCAAATTTTAATCTCTTCTCTCTGGTTTTTCTCTCTCTCTCTCTCTATCTCTTCTACCCACTCTTCGTTCTTGGTTTTATGGCAACTTGGTTGAGATTTGAGTGCACTGTTTGATCAAATGCAAGGTAGCGCAACCAGCGAGAAAGAGATCGGTATCACTCATGAGATTCGAGGGCACTGTTTGATCAAATGCAAGGTAGCGCAACCAGCGAGAAAGAGATCGGTATCACTCATGAGATTCGAGGGCACTGTTTGATCAAATGCAAGGTAGCGCAACCAGCGAGAAAGAGATCGGTATCACTCATGAGATTCGAGGGCACTGTTTGATCAAATGCAAGGTAGCGCAACCAGCGAGAAAGAGATCGGTATCACTCATGAGATTCGAGGGCACTGTTTGATCAAATGCAAGGTAGCGCAACCAGCGAGAAAGAGATCGGTATCACTCATGAGATTCGAGGGCACTGTTTGATCAAATGCAAGGTAGCGCAACCAGCGAGAAAGAGATCGGTATCACTCATGAGATTCGAGGGCACTGTTTGATCAAATGCAAGGTAGATCTGTGTTTCTCGGTTCAAATTTTTTATGTGTGTCTCTTTGTATGATTGGGTCTCTAAAATATTTAACAGTTAGGGCCTGAAATATTTTCACTGTCCTGAAAATGATAAATGATTAGGTCTCTGAAATATTTTTGTATGATTGGGTCTCTTTGTATGCCTCAAAATTTTTATGATTGGGTCTCTTTGTATGATTGTGTCTCAAAATTAATAAATGATTGGGTCTCTTTGATGCCTCAAAATTTTTATGTGATTTGTTTCTCATTTGGGTTTGATTGTGTTTCTCATTTATATTGCCTCAATTAAAATCTGTCTCTTTACCCCTCTATGTTTTGTGTGTGTCTTCATGCATACACTATGTTTGGTAAAATGCCTCAATTAAAATAGTGAGTGAATTTATAAAATGTCCACTGAATAGATAAAATGTATTATGTTTTTCCTTCTAATGTCCGCTGATCTAAGCCATGGTTGATTGCTAAACCTTCTCCCTTTCACTCAATTAAAATAGTGTGCGAATTTATAACATTACACGCTAATATTCACATTACACGCTAAAATGTCCCAAGATTAAAATGCCTCTCTTTTTAATGCTAGCTGCTTATATATTTCTACATTTTTGTTGTTAAAATAGTGAGTGAATTTATTATAACAGGCCAAGGAAGGTTTAGCAAAATAGAGGTATATTCAAATTGGTGATACAAACAGTGGGAGTTGGATGTTATTTTTAATCTTTAATGGAGTTTGCTTACTTATATTTTCTAATCTTTGGAATGACATAGGCCTGAGATTGAGGCATTTTACTTGGAATTAATCTTCTCCTGTCCAATCTTGGGATTAATCTAGACAAGGATGGTAAGTACAGGAAAACAAGTCTTTTCATTTTTAATCTCAGGCGGCAAACAAGTGTTTTCATTTGGTGATTGTTGGGAGTATGTGTTGAAAATTTAAACCAAAAAGAAAATGTGCATAATGAGGATTGAAAAAAGAAAAGAAAAAGGAAGATAAACATAGATCAATCTTTTCTTTTCTTTTTTTTTTTGGTGAACACACAAACTAATCTTAGTAACAAAATGCCTTTCTTAAGACAATATACGTTGGTAAATTTTGAGTTACTTTGAAACTAACTTTGTGCTAAGTTTTGGAATCCTCCATTGTCAAAATAAAAATTGATGTCTAATTGTCTTTTAAATTGGTTGTAGGTTATTTTTTAAGAGAAAACTAAAGTTGTAGGTTCTTTTTTCCACTCTATTTATGTCTTCTCTTTTTTAACCTCTTGGAATATGAGGACAACAAAATCATGGTGTAGAGTTTTTGTTGTCCCATTGTTCTTCTTACCTGGTTTAGTTAGTAAAGGAAAACAAGTGTTTTCATTTTTGGTCAAGTACATAATAAAGGTTGTTAGGTTTTATTCTTGGCAATCCCGTTTGACAAAACTCCTTTCAGTTGTATTTATTTTCACACTTTTATTTCAGTGAGGCTATGAGTGTTTAGATGCGAATCCAACCCGAATTGTGCCTTTCAGAGAAGTTTGTGATGCTAATGCTTTCAAGATTGCCACTTCGCTGATTATGACGGGGATCGAGCTGCCCGGTCAGCTCGCGGGGGTCCAGGGGGCAGCACCCCTTGGCGAGTCCGGGGCAGCGCCACGGCGGGGTTGAAGGGCAGCGCCCCTGAAGCAAAATACAAAAATGCATTCCAAGTTGCCTGTCCGCTCGAGCGGACATTACCCCGCTCGAGCGGAGAATCCCTGGTTCCAGAAGTTTTGGTCGCCTATAAAAGTACTGAGCTGTGTGATTTAGCGCTCGAGCGGACCTCTGTTTTGTCACACGCATATTTTGCTGAAGACGCTCGAGCGGGATGTTGGGCGCTCGAGCGAACCGCGCGAACACAGTTTTCCGAATTTCAATAAGGATTGGGTTTTCTTCCAAATCTAGGATTACTTTTTGGTTTTCTATAAGTAGTTGGTTTTCTCCCAAAACTAGACTACTCCTGAAGTCCTCCAGATCTTCTTTTTGGTTCTTAAGGTTTATATCTAGGGATATTTTTTTAGTTTTTCTTTGATGTTTTATTGAGTATTCAACTCATGGTTTAAAGAGAGTACATCAAAGGTTTTGTTTGTTCTACAAAAGAGAGAGTTGTTCTTCAGTGGATTCTGAAAAATTCGAGCCTGAAGCTTTGGTGGATTCCGGGGTGGCTCATCGTAAAGACAATTCCGAGGTGAAGACGGGGTTAGAAGAGGCACATAGAGGTTGGTTCAATTAGGCGTGGATTCGCTAGGTAATTGAGAGTATACCTGTGTAATTCCTTTAAATCTTCTTAGTGGATTGTTTTGTGGCTGTTGCCCGTGGTTTTTTTATCACAGTTGTGTCTCTTTGTCTTGATTGTTTGATTGGGATTGTTATATTCTGCTTAAAATTGATACATAATCACAAATCAACATCTAGGGGATTTCTAGATTTTTCAAAGGTCATAAAACTAGACAAGGAAATATGTGAAGAAAGTGAGTTGGACTGTGTGTGATGGCAAGTGGTGTTAGACAGTTCAAAAGTTTATTACATACTATGTGACATTGATTTGAAAATACTGAACATTAGACATTTTTGCTTTAATCCATCTAATCTAACTTTATTATTATTTTTCAAATTTAATTTTTATTTTTTTTTAATTTTAGGTATCGATATTAGAATGGCTATTGAATGACTTTCAAATCCTAACTTTGGCCAATTTTTAGGGCAACAATTTCATTTTTAAAATTGTCTTAGTTAATGTAATTGATGGCTTCTTACAAAAGTACAAAATAAAGAAGAAAAAATCTTGGGTTAATCTTCTCCTGTCTAATTTTATTACGGGTATACACTATCATCCCAACATTAATCTTGGGATTAATCTTGGGACAAAATGTTTGGAGATATTGGGATTAATCTTGGGATTAATCCCAATATCAATTTTATAGCAACTGTCATCCCAACATTAATCTCAAAATGTTGTCATTGGGGTTTGAAGTAATATTTTCATGTCATAGAGAAGAGATGTTTATAAATTTTTCTTTCTTCTTCACAATGTTTTATTGATTTTGCAATGTTTGTTTTAATGATAGAAGAGTTTTCTTTTTCAATGATCTATTGTTTGATTGTTTTACCTGTTTTAATGATAGAGGTTTATTTATTTTCTATTTTTTTAATTAAGGTGTGAATTGTTTTACCTGTTTTAAGATATTATATAAATTTTTCTTTCCTTTCATTTGCCTGAGATTAAAGATTTAAAACTTCCACTGCCTCTTTCTCTCTCTCTCTCTGATGCTTTTAATTTTATTTTTTAAGTTATAGGCCCCCATTTGGGTACTCTCTCTCTCTCTCTCTCATGCTTTTGTGTTTTTGTGGGTATGTTATGATTTGGTAAACAATTTCATCAATATTTTAATAATGCCTTCATCAATTGATGAGCGGTTCTCTTTTTCCCTTAAAATGAGCTGTTTTTTCACTACATAGCCGTCGTGTGTCAACCTCTTAAGCAATTTCGGTGTTCAAACAATGCACAATATCAATGTAATATTGTGGCCTAATTTTTACTTCTTTTTTTTTTGGTGGAATCCAAATTTTGTTTTTTGTTATGGCAGTGCGTTGGCTGCTTCCCATGAGCAAACCAAGTGGATCCAAAAGGATTGGTTCATATTTTGCTTATGGGAGGATTGAATAGTTGGAGCTATTTGAATATTTTATTTTTTTGTTTTTGTTTTTTGCAGCTGCTGTCCATAGCATTTCAATGCACCATGTTAACCCATAAAAGGTATCCTAAGTCGTTAATAGGATGCTTGGCTTCCATTGGAAATAAAATTGTTCAATCTATTTTTAGTTTACGAATTTTTTCTTAAATTTAATATTGTCATTTCTAAGTTACTGAAAATGATAAATGATAAAATCTCTGAAATATTTTTCTAAAATGGGTCTCCAGAATGCCTCAAAATTTTTATTTGGGTTTTCGTTGGGTGTCTAAATTTTATGTGATTTGTTTCTCATTTGGGTTTGATTGTGTTTCTCATTTATATTATGTAATTTGTTTCTCATTTATATTGCCTCAATTAAAATTTGTCTCTTTACCGTTCTATACTTTGTGTGTGTCTTCATGCATACACCATGTTTGGTAAAATGCCTCACTGAAAATAGTTTAATTTTTAATGCTAGCTACTTATATAATTCTACTTTTTTGTTGTTAAAATAGTGAGTGAATTTAAATTGGTGATAAGGTTTAGCAAAAATAGAGGTATATTCAAATTGGTGATACAGATAGTGGGAGTTGGATGTTATTTTTAATAATAAATAGTGGCAAATTTTGGACAAGGGATGATGGAGCTTACTTATATTTTCTAATCTTTGGAATGACATAGGCCTGAGATTGAAACTTTCTAATCTCAGGCAAATGAAAGTTTCAAATGATCTTAATAAGTAAATATAAGATTAGAAAGTTTCAATCTCAGGCCTATGTCATTCCAAAGATTAGAAAATATAAGAAAGCAAGCTCCATCATCCCTTGTCCAAAATTTGCCACTGTTTATTATTAAAAATAACATCCAACTCCCACTGTCTGTGTCACCAATTTGAATATACCTCTATTTTTGCAAAACCTTATCACCAATTTAAATTCACTCACTATTTTAACAACAAAAAAGTAGAATTATATAAGTAGGTAGCATTAAAAATTAAACTATTTTCAGTGAGGCATTTTACCGAACATGGTGTATGCATGAAGACACACACAAAGTATAGAATGGTAAAGAGACAAATTTTAATTGAGGCAATATAAATGAGAAACAAATCACATAATATAAATGAGAAACACAATCAAACCCAAATGAGAAACAAATCACATAAAATTTAGACACCCAACGAAAACCCAAATAAAAATTTTGAGGCATTCTGGAGACCCATTTTAGAAAAATATTTCAGAGATTTTATCATTTATCATTTTCAGTAACTTAGAAATGACAATATTAAATTTAAGAAAAAATTCGTAAACTAAAAATAGATTGAACAATTTTATTCCCAATGGAAGCCAAGCATCCTATTAAAGACTTAGGATACCTTTTATGGGTTAACATGGTGCATTGAAATGCTATGGACAGCAGCTGCAAAAAACAAAAACAAAAAAATAAAATATTCAAATAGCTCCAACTATTCAATCCTCCCATAAGCAAAATATGAACCAACCCTTTTGGATCCATTTGATTTGCTCATGGGAAGCAGCCAACGCACTGCCACAACAAAAAACAAAATTTGGATTCCACAAAAAAAAAAAGAAGTAAAAATTAGGCCACAATATTGATATTGATATTGTGCACTGTTTGAACACCGAAATTGCTTAAGAGGTTGACACACGACGGCTATGTAGTGAAAAAACAGCTCATTTTAAGGAAAAAAGAGAACCGCTCATCAATTGATGAAGGCATGATTAAAATATTGATGAAATTGTTTACCAAATCATAACATACCCACAAAAACACAAAAGCATGAGAGAGAGAGAGAGAGAGAGAGAGAGAGAGTACCCAAATGGGGTCCTATAACTCGAAAAATAAAATTAAAAGCATCAGAGAGAGAGAGAAAGAGGCAGTGGAAGTTTTAAATCTTTAATCTCAGGCAAATGAAAGGAAAGAAAAATTTATATAATATCTTAAAACAGGTAAAACAATTCACACCTTAATTTAAAAAATAGAAAATAAATAATCATTAAAACAGGTAAAACAATCAAACAATAGATCATTGAAAAAGAAAACTCTTCTATCATTAAAACAAACATTGTAAAATCAATAAAACATTGTGAAGAAGAAAGAAAAATTTATAAACATCTCTTCTCTATGACATGAAAATATTACTTCAAATCCCAATGACAACATTTTGAGATTAATGTTGGGATGATAGTTGCTATAAAATTGATGTTGGGATTAATCCCAAGATTAATCCCAATATCTCCAAACATTTTGTCCCAAGATTAATCCCAAGATTAATGTTGGGATGATAGTGTATACCCGCAATAAAATTTGACAGGAGAAGATTAATCCCAAGATTATTTCTTCTTTATTTTGTACTTTTGTAAGAAGCCATCAATTACACTAACTAAGACAATTTTAAAAATGAAATTGTTGCCCTAAAAATTGGCCAAAGTTAAAAGGATTTGAAAGTCATTCAATAACCATTCTAATATCGATACCTAAAATTTAAAAAAATAAAAATTAAATTTGAAAAATAATAATAAATTTTGATTAGATGGATTAAAGTAAAAATGTCTAATGTTCAGTGTTTTCAAATCAATGTCACATAGTATGTAATAAACTTTCGAACTGTCTAACACCACTTGCCATCACACACAGTTCAACTCACTTTCTTCACATATTTCCTTGTCTAGTTTTACGACCTTTATTATGTACTTGACAAAAAATGAAAACACTTGTTTTCCTTTACTAACTAAACCAGGTAAGAAGAACAATGGGACAACAAAAACTCTACACCACGATTTTGTTGTCCTCATATTCCAAGAGGTTAAAAAAGAAAAGACATAAATAAAGAGGAAAAAAGAACCTACAACCAATTTAAAAGACAATTAGACATCAATTTTTATTTTGACAATGGGGGATTCCAAAACTTAGCACAAAGTTAGTTCCAAAGTAACTCAAAATTTACCAACGTATATTGTCTTAAGAAAGGCATTTTGTTACTAAGATTAGTCTGTGTGTTCACCAAAAAAAAAAAGAAAAGAAAAGATTGATCTATGTTTATCTTCCTTTTTCTTTTCTTTTTTCAATCCTCATTATGCACATTTTCTTTTTGGTTTAAATTTTCAACACATACTCCCAACAATCACCAAATGAAAACACTTGTTTGCCACCTGAGATTAAAAATGAAAACACTTGTTTTCCTGTACTTGCCATCCTTGTCTAGATTAATCCCAAGATTGGATAGGAGAAGATTAATCCCAAGTAAAATGCCTCAATCTTAGGCCTATGTCATTCTAAAGATTAGAAAATATAAGTAAGCAAACTCCATTAAAGATTAAAAATAACATCCAACTCCCACTGTTTGTATCACCAATTTGAATATACCTCTATTTTTTGCTAAACCTTCCTTGGCCTGTTATAATAAATTCACTCACTATTTTAACAACAAAAATGTAGAAATATATAAGCAGCTAGCATTAAAAAGAGAGGCATTTTAATCTTGGGACATTTTAGCGTGTAATGTGAATATTAGCGTGTAATGTTATAAATTCGCACACTATTTTAATTGAGTGAAAGGGAGAAGGTTTAGCAATCAACCATGGCTTAGATCAGCGGACATTAGAAGGAAAAACATAATACATTTTATCTATTCAGTGGACATTTTATAAATTCACTCACTATTTTAATTGAGGCGTTTTACCGAACATGGTGTATGCATGAAGACACACACAACATATAGAGGGGTAAAGAGACAGATTTTAATTGAGGCAATATAAATGAGAAACACAATCAAACCCAAATGAGAAACAAATCACATAAAAATTTTGAGGCATACAAAGAGACCCAATCATTTATTAATTTTGAGACCCAATCATACAAAGAGACCCAATCATAAAAATTTTGCGGCATACAAAGAGACCCAATCATACAAAAATATTTCAGAGACCTAATCATTTATCATTTTCAGGACATAGTGAATGCATACAAAGAGACACACATAAAAAAAATTTGAATCGAGAAACCCTAGATACTGAGAAACACAGATCTACCTTGCATTTGATCAAACAGTGCACTCGAATCTCATGAGTGATACCGATCTCTTTCTTGCTGGTTACGCTACCTTGCATTTGATTAAACAGTGCACTCAAATCTCAACCAAGTTGCCATAGGTAAAACCAAGAACGGAGAGTGGGTAGAAGAGAGAGAGAGAGAGGGAGAGAGAGAAAACCAGAGAGAAGAGATTAAAATTTGAAAACCAGAGAGAGAGAGGAGGACGACTGTGAGAGAGAGAAAGGGAGGTGTGTTTGGTACTCATTAGGAGGAATCCAAAGAGGCAGACAATGCTAGATTTTGATTTTAGCCCTTAGATTTTGATTAAGGTTGATCTGAACCGTTGGTTATAAATGTATGTATATGACAATTTCTTGCCACATAGGACAAATTTAAAAACCTTCTTCCCATATTAGATTTATTTATTTATTTTGGCTAAGCAAAAGAATAATTTCTCCTAGGTGATATTTTCATAAATTTAGTTTTTTTTTTCTTTCCATTTAAACAAAGCCCAAAGTAATTGTCGCTATCAAGCTGTTACTTTCTTTGGTTGCTTTCTTTGTACCACTAGTTTTTTTTTTTTTTAATTACATAAACTCCATACATAACTAATAAACTCCATTCTCCTAGAGGAGAACATGGCACATAAACTCAATATGTTCTGTGATCCTTTGGCCCAACAAGAAACTGAGAAATCATTATAAGATGTTCTTCGTGAAAAGTACCCAACCTCCCCATTATTATTAATACATTTTTTCACTTCAATTCAAGTCTTTGTACCCACTATTTGCTTTTGAGGCAAACAAATTGAAGCAACTTTCAGCTTAATGTCATTTTGGTTCAAAGATCCAAACAATAAATTAGTTGATGGTATCTTCTTTTTGTAACTTTGGTTTTTAGTTTTATTCTGTGGAGAAATTGTGTTACAAACGAGTGAACTCAGATCAAACCCATCAGAGCATTTTTTAGTTTTATTAGAAAGCTGCAAAAACCAACCCAACAGATTTTAAATTTTTAAAAACTTCCCTCCGACATTTTTGGA